CCCCCCCCCCCCCCCCCTGCCCCAACCCCCCGCGATGGGATGCTGCTCCGGACCTGGGTCCTTTCCGAGCATCCTCTGCAGCTCGCTCCGTCCCTGTCCCTGTCCCCGCTCTCCCTGGCACGGGTGCAGCAGCCCCCTCCGCTCCCTCGGCCGCCGCAGAGCCGCCACTGAGGAGCCCGACGAAGCTGATTCCAGCCAGCAATGAGTCACCGGCCCACGGCCGTGCTTCTCCTCAGCACATTATTGGGTTTTTGGTTGTTTTGTTGGGTTTTTTTGTTTTTTTTTTTTTTTTTTTTTGGCCTGGCTGCCAAGCGGACCTCACTGCGAGTCGGCCTCTTCCCCGGCACCACAACAAACCCGGCTGCCGACAGAGCCCAGGCGCCATCTCACGTCACTGTCGTGGGGACAGCAGGCCTTGGCACACACTCTTGCCCCCCACCCCCCCCAAAAAAAAGTGCACTAGGATGGCTTTGCCATCCCAAAACCCTGCCCTGGGGGCAAAGAAGTCTGTAGCATCCTTGCTTGCTGGGGCTGGGGATGCTGGAACACACCGGGGATGGCAAGTCACCTGTGCATGGAGATGTAGGGGGTGCTGTGCTGAGCCCAGCACCCACCTGGGAAAGGGTTTGAACCCCCAAACTTTGCTCCTGGCTCTGGAAAGGGCTACAACAGGGCTTTTCCCTCTCCTCCCTGCAAGCCTGGGGGTCGTTCCCTGGGAGCGGTGGCCGCAGGAGAAGGGGCTGCTGTGCTGACGTGATGCTCGTTGCCTCAGAGCCGGGTGACGCTCCAGTCAGCACGCCCATTTGCCCGGCACCGTGGTCCCTGTCCCATCCTTGCTAGCACCCTGAGAGCCGTGGGGTGAGCCTCTCATGCACGTACCTCCGAGGCGAGGGGCTGGGTTGGCAGCTCGTCCTCTGCCGCTGCCGCCGCCGGCGCCCCTGGGTGGGTCCCTGCGCCTCCTCGTCCCCCTCTCCCAGGCAGGTCCCTGCGAGCGGCTTCATTTGCAGAGCGCGGAGGCTCCAGGACCAGCACACCTATCATGAGAGACACATATTAGCTGCGCGCAGATGGGAGAACGCCTCTAAATGTTATATTTTTAAAGCATTTTCTCACCCAGCAGGAGCTCCAAGCTCCTCTGCTTAGCGTGGAGGCATCTGTGGGAAAAGAGGTGGGGAGGCCCGCTGCGATTCGGGAGGATGCTGCTGGGATTCGGGCGGGCATGGAGAGAGAGGCGAGCGAGGGATTTCATACGAGCCCCATTTCTGTGCAGTGCTGAGGGTGGACTTCGCCACTCGCTGCCCCCGTTTCCCTCCCACGGGGTGAATCTTGCTTGGGGCTCATGATGTGGGTCATCTCCGCGAGGGGAGATAAGTTTGCGCCCACCTACCAGTGCGAGCACCCAGTGCAAAGCAGGAGCAACCCGTTCCTCGAGCATCCCCCTGCCAGGCCGGCTCCCAGACGGACAAATATAAGAGATTTCTGAGTCCAAGGGAGCTTGGACATCTCATTTAAGCTGTTTTGCAAATGTTTAGAAATCAGAGAAAGCTGGCAGAAAGTCCACAGAGTCCCTCTCCCAGCCCAGGGTAAAGTCGCTGTGCAGCAGGGACTCTCCTGCAGGATGGGTCTCCTCAGGAGCTGTGCCCACAGACATGCAGATATGGGGCAGAAGGAGACTCTTTTTTGGCCAGGACACGAAATGCACCGGAGATTTAAGAGGCCAAAGAGCAGGGACTGGTTGAAGCCCCGTGTGCCTGTGCAAAGCCTTGGCCAAGCTCAGTCTAGGTCACCCCAGCACTGAGTAGGGCCATCACCCCTCTCCCAGAGCCTGCTCAGCCCTGATGGAGGTGTAAACGCCAGCAGCACTTGGCATCTGTCAGAACAAGCCCATTTCATGCCTATACACTGGAAATCGTCCCTGACACCTCTGCCCAAGGGAACCCCCGGCTGCCAGGGACCAGCCAAACTCATCACATCAGTGAGCATCAGCGTTTTCCTAAGGGCTGGTCCCTGCTGCAAAGCATTTGCTCCCTAACAGCCGCGGCAGACCCTGCAGCCTGCTGATTTACTACAGCTCAGACAGCCTTACAGACGCTCGCTCCTTATCTTCGTTTCACAGATGGAAATATGGAGACACGCAGCTTATTTGCCCAGCGTGGCATAAATAACCCCCCGGGAAGCCAGACCGAGCGCTTTCCCTCCGCTCGGCGACGTTACCAAACGCTCCCCGGGTCGTTACCTGCCTGCACTTGTCTCAAGCAGCTGAAGGCAGACGCTGGGGCCACCCAGCTCGGACCTGGCACTCGGCGCTGTCGGGTCCCCAGCAGACCCAGGAGGGGGGTCAGGGGCTGCGGCGTGGCCCGTAGATGGTGGGTCGAGGGGTTCCGGGGCCCCACGCGGTGCAAGATGCCAGCGGCAGAGTCTCCCCGGAGGGGAGAGCGACCGCATCTGCGGCAGAAGGATCTGCCAGGGAAGAGCTCGATGCGAGAAGGCCTTTAAAGGACATGCACAAGAGCGGCTGGGAGCTCCCTGCGCAGGGCCGGGGCGGGCTGAGCGGTTTGCAGGTGGCCAGGCAGCCTCTGCCTTGGGTGCGGGGCCAGATCCTGCACCCGCACTTCGGAGGGGAGAGCTGTTACCCAGAGCTGAGAGAGACCACGACTGCTCTCTCCATACCTGGCGTCTGCAGAGCGGAGC